GTGCATTACGATGAATATCAACTATGTTTCATTCAAGGTATTATTGAGTCTGACGAAAGAAAAATGATTTTTAAGATACGTTACGCATGACTTATCCTCTGACGTAAAAACCAATGTCTGCTTTACATGAGATATTAATGTGATTTATAAAGAATGAAAATTTTATTTTTTATATGATTAATTTATGCGAATTTACAAAAGTGTTATTTACTTTTAAATTTAATCCTCCGAGTTCTTTTTCAATCTATTATTATGATGTACTTTAAAATTTTTACCTTTTTATTATAGTAATTTTTTGATGCAATGAAATTTACTATTTCTTATATTTTATTAAGAATAAGAGATTGTTATTTTTTTTGAAAAAAATTACATTTAAGATTACATTTTGCTTTAAATATATATCTAAAACTTATTGTGTAAAGTATAATTAGTTTATTTAAATTGTACGCGTTAAATATGATATAAACATTCAGGAATGCTTTTGTAAAATTAAAATTAAAATGAGTGAAATTAAAATGAGTGAATTCTTATGTGTATGTCTGTCCGAAAATGGAAGTCTTTCATGCATACTTGAAAAAATGCTAATATCATGTATGAATTTTTTTCCTCTATTTTTCCTCATATTGAAGAGCCACTTATTATTAATTTAACTTCTCGTCTTATGACTAACAATTTATAATGTATGTGATTTCCAGGTGTGCATATCATATTTTTATATGAAAATGTAAAGGATCCATTGTAACACGCAATAAGTCATGTCACACATAATTTGTACCTGTATGATTATTGAGAAATTGTAAGAAATTTATAATAATAATTGCAATATAGTGTGATTACCTAATTAAGTAACAAATAGCACTGATAATATTTATAATATATTATTAATATATGTATATATTTTTTCTCGAAGCTAATAAACATGCATCGTAGTAACCGAGTAATTGGTATGCTAAAGGCATTAATTAACCTAAATTCATCATTGATGAATGAAAGTATGTTTTCTCTACGTATACCGGAAATGGCTCTTTGTGCAAATAATTTCGTTTTATTCGCGCACATTATTATGTATATTATTTATATTATATTCGCGCACATTATTATGTATATTATTTATATTTTAATGAAATTATTTATAAAAATTATAAATTATATATGTAATAAAAATCATTACTTCACACTTCACTTTCTTTCACAAAAATCACGAAAACAAAGCTCTTCAAAGTTTTACTTTTCTTCAACTAATAATTCGCTTTCTTACGAAATTATTCGTTCAATCTTTATATTCATTTAATCTCTAATTATTTGAAATGTTAAATACATAGAGAGATTAAAAGGATATTTTGGAGAATTTATCATATGCAAATTATGCAGCAATATAAAGCTGAGATTGATTTAAAAAATGAGTAAAAAAATGAAAACAAAGTTTGAATCACAGAAGAATCAAGGATTTTGGTAATAAGATTTATTCTCAAAATTTTGATATTAAGTTTCGTTAAAATATATTATGGCTTATAAATCAATGAGATAAAATTTTTCGTTAATATTATACACAAATATATTTTTTATTAATATTAAGTTATATGTAATTTTTATTTTTTAAAGAGATAAATTTATATATATATGAAATTCTTTATAAAATATTTCGTTTCTTGCTATTTGTATACTTACATATTTGCACAGTTGTAATTAATTTAATGATACTAGAAATGATAAATATGATGATAAAGAAAATGAATGAAAACTCCATAAATAAATAGCGCATTGCAGTAATGTAATTTTCAAGATATTTTACTTTGAAGTAAACAAATTTCAAATCTATTTTCCGATGTTTATAAACCGCTTGCATTATTAACCTAATCGATTGTATTATTAATAACATTAATCAACATTATGGGTTTAATAAAATTATACTTTCACATTGTGAATCGTAAACCTGACATTATGGTATGGATTGAAATATCAATATAATATACTCCTAAAGAACGTTGACTTGTAGCAACAATCTCGGCGTGATTACAGTGTTGATTGTTACATTTACCGACTTATATTTATCCCTGATGCTATGTGCGGCTGTTGTGTTGTTTCAGAATCATAGCTCTGTAGATTGAATCATGGCTCGACATTTAACGCCAGTGACATAATCGTTTGTGCTTCGCATAAATGACCTTGGAGAATGAACGATCTATCTTCATCCTCAGAGTCGTTGCTCTGGCTGATGAGCTTTTTTCCTTTTTTTTTCCTGACTTACGATCACCTACTATATACGCTCGCGATTTCTCTCTTGGCCTTAATAGCTCGCTTGATTCTTTCTCCTACTCTTTCTCCGACGCGATGGTATCGCATTCAAGGTCTTTGCGAGTAAGAAAGGATTTTGCGTCTCGAGAAAATGAGCAGATTACAATTAGTAATCAAGTTATACATGAATATATCAATTCATTAATTGATTATATATGTATAGAGCATCTTATTTTCTATTTTTTAAATCATGCTTTTATTAATTTAAGCCAATTATTTTTTATAAGAATGTTGGACAAGACAAAACTGAAACTTTCCAATTATCAATGTTACATAATGATTAAGAAAGTGTTCGTACTTTTTAAATATGTACATCTTAATAATTTTGTACGAGATAATTTTACGCAAAAAAATAATTATTTTGTAAAGATAATTTTTTAAATATATATTTTAAGTTTAATATATAGTTTAATATAAGTTTAATATATATTTTATAATATCGTAATATTCTGCTGTTACATCTGAATTATATTATATTGTGAATATACTTAAAATAATATAAAGATTAAATGAATATCTTATATTCAGCAAAGAATATATTATTTTATAATTAATATTATATTATTAATATATTATTTTTTCTTTTAGGATCTTTTCTTTCTTTTTCTAACAATATAGAAATAGTTTGCGAAATATGCTAAAACCTATACTATATATGATCTGTAATTGTAATCAAGATTAAATGGATCATAAATGCGGTATAAGTTGGCAATATGATAGAAATCTTTCTACTTTCGAATCTCTCTAAAACTAATTTACTAAGAATACACTAGCTACTAACGAAGCGCTTTTGCGTTTTTCAATTTGTATAAGCACTGGCTAAGTAATGTATATTTTATATATCTTTTGCATTGCTTTTTGTATTATAATTTATAGTTTTATATTATATTTTACTTTATATTGTATAAGATTTTTGTAAATATTGGCAGAATAGCGGCAATTTATACAATAACCTTTTTGCGTTATTATCAATAAATTTTGATAGAAATTTTGATAGAATTTTGATGATAAAAATCAATTACTACTAAGCAGATTAGACAATAAATTATATTAATTTACAAATCATTACCAAATTTTTCTCAAATATTTATATGAAAAAATAATATATATGAAAAAAAAATATTTTTCATAAGAGAAATTGGAAGATATATGCATTCTTTATTTACCAATAAACATAAATTTTTGTAATTAAGATTTGGCAGATATCAAAATAAATAACAAAAAAGTTACATAATGCACGAATAATCTACAATTTTAATTTAAAGGAGGCAATTATATTATTACATATTTAAATGTATAAAATTAATATAAGTAGTGCAATATGCACTCGGAACTTAATTATGTTTTTTTCTCACAATCGGATGTATTATACGATTAAAAAGAAATACGAACTGTAAATTTTCGATAAACAATATGCTGGAAATAATTTTTTTCTACTTTCTTTTCTATTTTGAAAGAGAGAGAGAGAGAGAGAGAGAGAGAGAGAGAGAGAGAGAGAGAGAGAGAGAGAGAGAGAGAGAGAGAGAGAGAGAGACAGAGATTTTGTGTGATAATATTATCAATTTATTATGATAATATTATATTAGGAATATTTTTTTAATATAATCTTATTAGATTATAGACATATTAAACTTAGATTTTAATTATATATTATAATCGAATTATATATGATCAACAATATTTTGTATTCGGTATATTAAAAAAATTTTTCAATATTTTTAGAAAATTATCTCTTTTTTCTAAAATTTAATTTATCGAGTGATTTGTTTAGTTTTTTACAAAAACTAAAACAAAATGATTTGATTAAAAAATGTTTTTTAATATAATTATTATATTTCTATTTATACAAGCTTTATTTATAAGTATTTTAATGATAAATTAAAGAATCACGAAGTTCTCTAAAATATTAATGCAGATTTGCATTGACTTCACGAAATCTAAACTTTACGCAATCTTTTTCTCTTTATATCTTATAGAAACTCGAGAAAATTATTTTTTATATACATTAAATTAATTTTTTATTCATGAGTATTCTCCTAATTATGATTTACTATAGTATCTGCTTAACCTTTTATAATAATTGTAAATTATAATTTCAGGTTAAAATTGACTTCGCGCATTTTGGAAATTTCAAAAATCATTTTGTTTTAGTTTTTGTAAAAAACTAAACAAATCACTCGATAAATTAAATTTTAGAAAAAAGAGATAATTTTCTAAAAATATTGAAAAATTTTTTAATCACACTTTAGTATTATACATCTTTCGATTTTATATGATCTTTATTACAAAACTATAGACTAGTACATATTTTGTTATAAGTACACAGATTTCTCTTATAAATACACAGATTACATGCGTTCGCGATTCCCTTTTTCTTCTAAATAGTATTACGCATTTATGCTATAGGAGGAAGGAGAGATACGTCTTGTCGTGAAAGAAATCATATATCTCATACAACTTTCGTAGTTTGAATGACGTAATTACGACGAGAACAGCCGATGGTAATTCCGTAAAAGAGAGAGGAGAGAAAGATCGAGTAAAACTGGACCGTTGAAAGATTGCGGGAAAGGGAACTTCTTTTGTGGTCATTCGGAAGCACCCCACCATCACATCGACTGGTATCGTGGTGGTCGTGCTTACGAGAAACCGTATGTTTAAATGTTTCGCACCCCACTTCTTACAACTATTCGATCCTGAAGGTGGAAAGCACACCGCGGGCTTACTTCAAGCGTATTGCGATCGGTCGTTCAGTCTTTTGGAAACATTGGATCGCGCGAGATCGATTGCTGTGAAATCACTGTAGATTATCGTAGGAGGATCGGTCCTCTTATCGATTTTATATAGTGCGTGCTTTGGCGACATTTTAATTTCTTTTTAAAAATATATATATTAATAGGGACGCTTTTCTCTTTTTTCTTGGATTAAAATTGCTGATATACCCTAAAATCGTCGTGTTGTACGTAATTGTCATTCTCGTTGTGAGCTTGCGGAATTGAAAAAAAGATCGCGTGGTTGCGTCCCGTGACGATCCTAGAGGATGAACTAGTGAATTCTATTGCTATACGTGTAAAATTCAAAGGTAAGCTTCTCTGCCGGCCGATTTTTTTTCTATATTTGTGAAATTTTGAAATTATTGATTACTACTTTCTTTACATGATCCACGAAGTAGCTTAAGAGTTGTTAACATTTATCATTTTCTAAGAGATCAACGCGTTAGTTTTTGCTGATGCCACTAACCACTATTCTGTGGATTAGTATTTCCGGAAGGAAAGTGTCGCGTTTCATTTAATAGAGATTCTTGATTTCTTCCCATTTATTTTACAAAACGTCATTACTTTCGTCATTACATTATTAAGAGAGAAGAGAATTGAAAATAAGTCGATTTTATTTGATATAGATTTCACAAGCGCCACGATTACGATAGTGATTTCATTTCTTATGATTACGATATGTAAGGGCATTGACATGTGCGAAAAATATTACCCGTGTAAGTTACACTCTCAATGAAAAATTATCTGATATTAAAAAAAAAAAAGAAAAACTTATTTGACACGCTATACAATTTGTTCCCGCACAACGACAACGAGAGGAATTTTTCATGAAAATAATTTTTTAACTTATTATATATTCATTAAATGCATATAACTTTATTACATTTATTATAATTATTTATTAAATCGAGGCGAAATGAGAGAAATTGGGTTGAGAGAGGAGAATTCTGGCAGAAAATGCAAATATAACAGGAAATCTTCTGTAACATATTTACTTCTCACTTCAACTTCGCTTTCTCTACCAAGTTTCGATTTCTTTTATCTCTCACGAATAACAGGCTTGGAAATAATAATATCGCGATCAAATATGCTTTTGCAGTAAGGAAATGTCCTTCCTACTAATTCACTTGGTAGTGAAAGTATTAAAAAGATGTAAAAAAAAATCTTCCATTATGCTTATAACTTTGATATACAACTTTCTTGCATTGATTCTTACAGCGACCTAGTCTTTTTTAACAATGATGGAATGAGTGGAAAAAAAATGAGCGAAAATAATCGTGACACAGTCGTAACAATAATCTTGACATTCTCTTTTTCCTTTTTTCAAACGATTTCGTTCTTTCGTTGTTTATGTTTGTTGTATAAATTCCATGTATGAAAACATGTATCAAAATTACTAGTTGTATGTCACGCGGAAGTAATATACTTTCCTATACAGCCTTCCGTGATTTAATGCTATATTGCAATACTGTGAATTATTTTTCTTTCAATCTTCGCACATATGCTAGTAATCAAGAGCTCACAGATGTATATCTTTGTTCGCTTTGATACATTATTATTATTTTGATAGGTTTTTTATTTTACAGCGCACTTTGTAGGATGGTGGGAAATACAGAAATTGCGAGTTAAGTAATCAAATTGTGTAACGATTAAGAAATTAAATAGATGGAATGAAATAGAAATTCGAATTTCGATATATATACACACATTCGAGAATTCAAATTATATCATTTTCTTGCTAATCTTAATTTCTTTAAATTTAACATATAATAAAGAATAACGAAGAGTTTTATTTCTTTCGTTTATAAAAATTCTAAAATTTATTACGTAATATTATTTATGTTGAATAATCAAAATGGAATTGAAGAAATCGTTTATGTCATTATCAAACAAAATTATGCAGATTACATGTTTGTGCAATTTGCCTATATTTCATATTTTACGCTTACTCATGTTTGCACAAATTATTATACAGTGTAGAACTTAGAGAGTTTCAGTGAGAATATTTTCTGCTTTTACTTTCACAAAGATTGTATATCAAAGAAGTAAGGCACTTTAGAAGGGAATTCAGGATTTGAGGAACGTTTATATGTATGTGTGTATGTGTATTATTTTAAGATTAACGGGCAGATTTATCTTAGTTTGTATTGTATAAAGTTAAAAAAAATTATCCTTTTCTAGTTATTTAAAAGTATTATATACATATATGAAAAAAGCGAATTTTTTCACAATTAATTTAATGTATAAAATTGTATTTTACCGTTATTTTCAATATTAATGCAACTATTGTGAAGTAACATTTTTTTATCGATGAATCGCAGTTGCAAATTTAAATTTTTCAATGAATTTATTGAATATTGAATTGATTATACAGATTCGAATGTACAATATGGGAGAATGCGATATTGAACAATGAGATTCTAAAATGAGCATGATTTATCATATGTTTATTTGCGAAGTTATTTCATTGTCAATGGTGTGATTCTCGTTAATAGTCACGTGGCACACGTGGCATACAGATGGGCATATCTACGCATGCACGCGATCGCGTGCGTGAATGTCGTTGAACATCCATTTGCTCTATTGCACATGAACTTTCTGTATAGTGTGTAAATATATATATATATATATATATATATATACATATATTTATATATTGATGGTGAAATGGCTAACGGGAAGAAAGCGTAGCAGGAAACCAATAATATGTTGTTACGTTGGTCGACTTCACTGGTAAGACAGTATAAGTGATCCTGAATGTACATACACGGCCGCAAGGTTGATATCACAAGATCGAACACCGCTCAAGATATTCATTAAGCGCTTCATTCAAATAATTAATTTCGGTAAATTGTGCATATAGAATTTACTATAGAATTGAATTGAATTATTGGAGATTAAAAAGAAAATATTTAATTTTACTTTTTTGGGATTGCAGTTCAAACATTTTTTTAAAACAATTTTTCTCCAGATTAATAGATCGAAATCTTGACACTATAATCGGTCTTCTGACTTAAATCCATTCGATTTTTATTTTTGACATTATTTAAAATCTATTATATGCATGCACACAAATTAATTATATTTATGACTTGCGATTTTTACTTTTGTCATTATTTAAAATCTATTATATGCATGCACACAAATTAATCATATTCATGACTTGCTAGAAAATATGCAAAATATATACAAGATTATGCGAAATTGATATTTTTCAACGAATATGAAATACTCGGTAAGAAGCTATAACATATATGGAGGTGCAAGACAGATATTTAAACATTTTACAAAATTTTTCAACTATAATATGTACGATTCTTGTTCAAATAATATTTTTTACTTGTTTTAAAATGTACATTTTATTTTTGGAAATATTGCTATGCATTTATAAATCATCTTATATAAAATATATATATTTACAATGTATAATTTATTTATTTGTATAAAATTTGTAGAAAAAGATATTTATTAGTCCACATGTTCACTATTACGTGACAATATTCGTATCTGTTTTATAGTTAGTTTTATAGTCTGTTTGACCTATTTAAGAAAGTAAAATATAAAAATTATCGAAATACTAAAAATCCAGAGCTCAAACAAAGTTAACAGTAATATAAGTTTATGACAAAAACGTGTTATTTTCAAAGAGCTTGATTATATTGTTGACGCGCGAATATATTTAAAATAATTAATGCCGTTGCGCGCATAAATGTAGTCTTAAGAAGATATTGTTTATATGCAATATTGTTTTTATGCATATATTGTAGAGCTTTTACTATTCTATAATTGTCAATGTATGATATTTCAATTTTTTGTTTAGTATCGGATTCAACGTGTAAAATAATTATTTTAATGATGGATTATATAATTATAATTATAAACACAAATTTGAATTTTACAATGTAGTTTATGTTTATTCATTTATAATGTTATATAACAACATATACATTATAATAATTTAATAATGATAATTTTTATATAAAAGAAACTATTGAAATGCATGCACGTATAATATAAAAATGAATATTCGTATAATGTATGTAATACATATAAATGTGATACATATTTAATTTATAAGAAAGAGCTGAAAGAAAATTAAAATCTATTCTTCTATATCTCTCACTTTATCATGATCACCATGATCAAAATAGGAGATATAAATCCAATTAAAATTATTACAATTTATCAAAATAAATAATAATAACATTTTGAGAAATTTGATTTGAGTATTTATGTGAATTTAAGAAAATATAATATTTTGAGATTTAATAGAAATTTTATTTATTTTTCTTTCTTTTTCTCTTCATTTTTCTTTTTCAAAAACAGTTGTTTTTTTATATTATTTTTTACACATATTGTTTCTTTATATTATTATTTTTTTATATTATTTTCCAAAATATATTGTCAGATTGGAAAATACATAAATACAATCTCAAATAAAACAATTAAAACAGCATATATATATATATATATATATATATATATATATATATATGAATGAATGATTGCAACTTCGTTGAGCAATCGATTTCTCTATTTTTTTTCTCTGTCAAGAATTGCTACTTGACATTGCTTACATCAGTTGAAACGTACAAATTATTGTCGTTAGAATTCCTTTCGAGTCAACTAGACATTCTGGAGAAAATTAGTAAGACCTCATTTAACTTTAACGTTTACAAGAATAATTGTCTTTTTTTCATGTTAATTATACACTATATACTAGATTAGTTTTATCAATACCACATATTAGTTTTGTCAATATCTTTGTAAAAATTGCATAACCTACAATGATTATTCTTTTCTCAGATTTGTTGCAGCACCTATGTCAAGTTCTTGCGGCTATATAATTTTCTATTGCAGAATTATTTTTACGATCAATGTTAATGTTCTTTTTTTATTGTACCGCGTCACATTCGTTATATTCCTTCTTTATCATGAAACTGCAAGGTATGAACTATTGCTAGCTCCTTTCTATTCACTGTAAGTCATAAGATTATTACTCTATAATTTGGCAATTGCGCTGTCATGAAAACGGTCACTATCGATGACATTTGCGTGTGTAACAACCGCAATTATCCTAAATAAGTTTTTCTTCGATTGCAATGTCTAGGTTCTCGATTTTCGATAAGCTTCGTTAATACTCTTTTTTTCTAATTTTTTTTTCTAATTAAAGGCCAATTATAAATTGCGAAGTTAAGTTTTATCCGAGCGCCTCGTAAATCTCGAGGATGATATTGCACGAAGAAACGTAGCTGACAATAAATCACTTGGAAGTTTTTCGATCTTATAATTTCGCACACACAAGGAG